TATATAAATCCATGGGGCTCTTCACGGGTATGAGCATTTCTTGATTTAATGATTTTTTTAATACTTTAGAAATAAATTATATCTGAGAATCAATGGGTTGTATCGAGTAAAAAACCAAATTTTTCAGCTAATTTGAAGGATTTTTATTCATATATAAATCCATGGGACTCTTCACGGGTATGAGCATTTTTTGATTTTATGATTTTTTAATATTTTAGAAATAAATTATATCTGAGAATCAATGCGTTGTATCGATTAAAAAACCAATTCTTTCAGCTAATTTGAAGGATTTTTATTCATTATATTAATCCATGGGACTCTTCACGGGTATGAGCATTTTTTGATTTTATGATTTTTTTAATATTTTAGAAATAAATTATATCTGAGAATCAAGTGGTTGTATCGAGTAAAAAACCAAATTTTTCAGCTAATTTGAAGGATTTTTATTCATTATATTAATCCATGGGGCGCTTCACGGGTATGAGCATTTCTTGATTTAATGATTTTTTTTAATACTTTAGAAATAAATTATATCTGAGAATCAATGGGTTGTATCGAGTCAAAAACCAATTCTTTCAGCTAATTTGAAGGATTTTTATTCATTATATTAATCCATGGGGCGCTTCACGGGTATGAGCATTTCTTGATTTAATGATTTTTTTAATATTTTAGAAATAAATTATATCTGAGAATCAATGGGTTGTATCGAGTAAAAAACCAAATTTTTCAGCTAATTTGAAGGATTTTTATTCATATATAAATCCATGGGACTCTTCACGGGTATGAGCATTTTTTGATTTTATGATTTTTTTAATATTTTAGAAATAAATTATATCTGAGAATCAATGCGTTGTATCGATTAAAAAACCAATTCTTTCAGCTAATTTGAAGGATTTTTATTCATTATATTAATCCATGGGGCGCTTCACGGGTATGAGCATTTCTTGATTTAATGATTTTTTTAATATTTTAGAAATAAATTATATCTGAGAATCAATGGGTTGTATCGAGTAAAAAACCAAATTTTTCAGCTAATTTGAAGGATTTTTATTCATATATAAATCCATGGGACTCTTCACGGGTATGAGCATTTTTTGATTTTATGATTTTTTAATATTTTAGAAATAAATTATATCTGAGAATCAATGCGTTGTATCGATTAAAAAACCAATTCTTTCAGCTAATTTGAAGGATTTTTATTCATTATATTAATCCATGGGACTCTTCACGGGTATGAGCATTTTTTGATTTTATGATTTTTTTAATATTTTAGAAATAAATTATATCTGAGAATCAAGTGGTTGTATCGAGTAAAAAACCAAATTTTTCAGCTAATTTGAAGGATTTTTATTCATTATATTAATCCATGGGGCGCTTCACGGGTATGAGCATTTCTTGATTTAATGATTTTTTTAATACTTTAGAAATAAATTATATCTGAGAATCAATGGGTTGTATCGAGTAAAAAACCAAATTTTTCAGCTAATTTGAAGGATTTTTATTCATTATATTAATCCATGGGGCGCTTCACGGGTATGAGCATTTCTTGATTTAATGATTTTTTTAATATTTTAGAAATAAATTATATCTGAGAATCAACGGGTTGTATCGAGTAAAAAACCAAATTTTTCAGCTAATTTGAAGGATTTTTATTCATTATATTAATCCATGGGGCGCTTCACGGGTATGAGCATTTCTTGATTTAATGATTTTTTTAATATTTTAGAAATAAATTATATCTGAGAATCAATGGGTTGTATCGAGCAAAAAACCAAAATTTTCAGCTAATTTGAAGGATTTTTATTCATTATATTAATCCATGGGGCGCTTCACGGGTATGAGCATTTCTTGATTTATTGATTTTTTTAATATTTTAGAAATAAATTATATCTGAGAATCAATGGGTTGTATCGAGTAAAAAACCAAATTTTTCAGCTAATTTGAAGGATTTTTATACATTATATTAATCCATGGGGCGCTTCACGGGTATGAGCATTTCTTGATTTAATGATTTTTTTAATACTTTAGAAATAAATTATATCTGAGAATCAATGGGTTGTATCGAGTAAAAAACCAAATTTTTCAGCTAATTTGAAGGATTTTTATACATTATATTAATCCATGGGGCGCTTCACGGGTATGAGCATTTCTTGATTTAATGATTTTTTTAATATTTTAGAAATAAATTATATCTGAGAATCAATGGGTTGTATCGAGTAAAAAACCAAATTTTTCAGCTAATTTGAAGGATTTTTATACATTATATTAATCCATGGGGCGCTTCACGGGTATGAGCATTTCTTGATTTAATGATTTTTTTAATACTTTAGAAATAAATTATATCTGAGAATCAATGGGTTGTATCGAGAAAAGAACCAAATTTTTCAGTTAATTTGAAGGATTTTTATACATTATATAAATCCATGGGGCTCTTCACGGGTATGAGCATTTCTTGATTTAATGATTTTTTTAATACTTTAGAAATAAATTATATCTGAGAATCAATGGGTTGTATCGAGTAAAAAACCAAATTTTTCAGCTAATTTGAAGGATTTTTATTCATTATATTAATCCATGGGGCGCTTCACGGGTATGAGCATTTCTTGATTTAATGATTTTTTTTAATACTTTAGAAATAAATTATATCTGAGAATCAATGGGTTGTATCGAGCAAAAAACCAAATTTTTCAGCTAATTTGAAGGATTTTTATTCATTATATTAATCCATGGGGCGCTTCACGGGTATGAGCATTTCTTGATTTAATGATTTTTTTAATATTTTAGAAATAAATTATATCTGAGAATCAATGGGTTGTATCGAGCAAAAAACCAAAATTTTCAGCTAATTTGAAGGATTTTTATTCATTATATTAATCCATGGGGCGCTTCACGGGTATGAGCATTTCTTGATTTATTGATTTTTTTAATATTTTAGAAATAAATTATATCTGAGAATCAATGGGTTGTATCGAGCAAAAAACCAAAATTTTCAGCTAATTTGAAGGATTTTTATTCATTATATTAATCCATGGGGCGCTTCACGGGTATGAGCATTTCTTGATTTATTGATTTTTTTAATATTTTAGAAATAAATTATATCTGAGAATCAATGGGTTGTATCGAGTAAAAAACCAAATTTTTCAGCTAATTTGAAGGATTTTTATACATTATATTAATCCATGGGGCGCTTCACGGGTATGAGCATTTCTTGATTTATTGATTTTTTTAATATTTTAGAAATAAATTATATCTGAGAATCAATGGGTTGTATCGAGTAAAAAACCAAATTTTTCAGCTAATTTGAAGGATTTTTATACATTATATTAATCCATGGGGCGCTTCACGGGTATGAGCATTTCTTGATTTAATGATTTTTTTAATATTTTAGAAATAAATTATATCTGAGAATCAATGGGTTGTATCGAGCAAAAAACCAAAATTTTCAGCTAATTTGAAGGATTTTTATTCATTATATTAATCCATGGGGCGCTTCACGGGTATGAGCATTTCTTGATTTATTGATTTTTTTAATATTTTAGAAATAAATTATATCTGAGAATCAATGGGTTGTATCGAGTAAAAAACCAAATTTTTCAGCTAATTTGAAGGATTTTTATACATTATATTAATCCATGGGGCGCTTCACGGGTATGAGCATTTCTTGATTTAATGATTTTTTTAATACTTTAGAAATAAATTATATCTGAGAATCAATGGGTTGTATCGAGTAAAAAACCAAATTTTTCAGCTAATTTGAAGGATTTTTATACATTATATTAATCCATGGGGCGCTTCACGGGTATGAGCATTTCTTGATTTAATGATTTTTTTAATATTTTAGAAATAAATTATATCTGAGAATCAATGGGTTGTATCGAGTAAAAAACCAAATTTTTCAGCTAATTTGAAGGATTTTTATACATTATATTAATCCATGGGGCGCTTCACGGGTATGAGCATTTCTTGATTTAATGATTTTTTTAATACTTTAGAAATAAATTATATCTGAGAATCAATGGGTTGTATCGAGCAAAAAACCAAAATTTTCAGCTAATTTGAAGGATTTTTATACATTATATTAATCCATGGGGCGCTTCACGGGTATGAGCATTTTTTGATTTTATGATTTTTTTTAATACTTTAGAAATAAATTATATCTGAGAATCAATGGGTTGTATCGAGTCAAAAACCAATTCTTTCAGCTAATTTGAAGGATTTTTATTCATTATATTAATCCATGGGGCGCTTCACGGGTATGAGCATTTTTTGATTTTATGATTTTTTAATATTTTAGAAATAAATTATATCTGAGAATCAATGGGTTGTATCGAGCAAAAAACCAAAATTTTCAGCTAATTTGAAGGATTTTTATACATTATATTAATCCATGGGGCGCTTCACGGGTATGAGCATTTCTTGATTTAATGATTTTTTTTAATACTTTAGAAATAAATTATATCTGAGAATCAATGGGTTGTATCGAGTCAAAAACCAATTCTTTCAGCTAATTTGAAGGATTTTTATTCATTATATTAATCCATGGGGCGCTTCACGGGTATGAGCATTTTTTGATTTTATGATTTTTTAATATTTTAGAAATAAATTATATCTGAGAATCAATGGGTTGTATCGAGAAAAGAACCAAATTTTTCAGTTAATTTGAAGGATTTTTATCTATATATAAATACATGGGGCTCTTCACGGGTATGAGCATTTCTTGATTTTATGATTTATTTAATATTTTAGAAATAAATTACTTGGCGCTTGAGGGGTATGCGATTTTCTTATTATGTTTCTCAATAAATGTTGAAAAGTTCAGACTGGAGTGAATTTTGTCCCGATTTCGAAAGCTTTCTTTCCTGGAAATTAATTTGTTCTAATAATGATGAAATATGCATTTTTACCATAAAATTAAATTTTTAATGAGTAACATTATTATTTATTCTTTATTCTTCTCTCGGTCAATACAAATTTAACTTTTTTTTATGGATTTGCCTCAGATACCAGCAGGAGCAGCGAAGGTCCCAGATTCAAGCACTGAAAAAAAAGAATGCCTTAATTTTGAAATTTGGAAGAATAAGAAGTATGTGATATGGGCGCTTGCCATTCCGATTTCCCTCTTCGGCTACTTTGTTCCTTACGTCCACATGGTACATATTTTTATTATAATTTATTAATTATAAAAAACTTCATTTAATTAGGTGAAATTCGTGTCGGTCAACTTCCCAGACGCCGACGGCAAGATCTTAGTCATGTGCATCGGCCTCACCTCAGGCGTGGGCCGCATCATTTTTGGCAAAATCGCCGACATGCCGAACGTGGACCGAATTTTACTGCAGCAGGTGCGGCACAATTGAGCTGCTTTGATCGACGTAATTAATCGGTGGACGCGATTTCTTTGCAGATCTCATTCATCTCAATTGGCTCTTTGACTATGCTGCTGGTGGTCGCCCCCGCCTGGTCCTACATGATTCTAATTGCCCTGGGAATGGGCCTCTTCGACGGCTGCTTCATCAGTCTGCTCGGACCGATCGCGTTCGATTTGTGCGGCTCCGAGGGCGCTTCACAGGCCATCGGCTTTTTGCTCGGACTCTGCTCCATTCCACTCACAGTCGGACCCCCTGTTGCAGGTATTTCGTTTTTAACTTTTAATTGACAGCCTTATTAATTGTGATAATGAAAATCAGGCAAGCTCTTTGACCACTTCAACTCCTACACGGTGCCCTTCCTGCTGGCTGGAGGTCCACCGATTTTAGGCGCCATCGCTTTGTTCGCCATCAAGTGCGTCAAATCCGAGCCAAAGAACAACTCTCAGGGACTCCACAACAGTGTGTGATGATCATTTATTATAATTCCCTAAATTATTTCTCAGCATTTAAATATTAGCCTCGCTCATTGTGATAGTAATAACGAGATCAAAGAGATATTTTAAAAGAATTTTGTAGCTCATCAACGAAGTCATAGTTTTCTCTCAAAATAAATATATTTAAGATGTCAATTAAAGTTTAACAAAGAATTTGTTTTGTAAAAGAAAATATTTCCCAATCTGGAATAGCAGGTTTACTGTGTATAAATTCAATTTAACTTAAAATTTTCCAAGTCTCTGATTAGTTTTTTGCTGTTCTTTAATTGCTTTAATTAAGAGGTAGTAAAACTCTCAAGTGCAGTTTCTGCAGGCGGTGATGAGTAGCTTTTGTTCAATCACGTTGATTATTCTCCAAACAACAAAATATATTGAAAAAAATTATAGTTTACCTAACAATAAGGATTTTTTAAATAAAAAATTAAAGTATTCATATTATGTATTGTTTCCACATCATAATAGGGGAAATTTTTATTTAGCTTATAATTATTAATATTTTTTTATAGCTATTACACAGTTTTGTCCTATTTTTCATAAACTTAATTTAACTTGCACGCACATTTAGCTGAACACATTCGCTCTGTCCAGTCATTCCAACATTATCACATGTTGATGGCTATATAATTATTTATGCGGCGTGTTAACCCCTTAACAGTACATTTCTTTGTGCTCAATCAAATTATGCAATTAATTCCTCGTGTTTAAAAGAAAATCCAACGTTCAAATTTCACTTTGTTCTAAAAAAAAAAACATCAAAATAATTTATACAGTTTCATTGCCTTAGTTTTGTTTGAGTTTATATCTGCAGTGCTTTTATCTCTTTCATTCAAATGCTCTCATTCAAAACGAAATAACAACAAGTTTGAGTTTTTTAATTCTTCCGCATTTTTTCGATGATGATGCTCTGCTTTTGGGTAACAAAGGGTTGCATACACATCCTGGGGGGACTGAACACTTGAATATAATTATATTTTCTTTTTCTTTTTTTTATAAATTAGTTGCGCTGGTTATAGTTCCCTCTTTCTTTCTTTCCTTAATTAATGCGCGGCAACCCTGCGGCCAAAACACTGATCAAGATGAGGACCTTAATTTCTAGTAGCCTATCTATTGTCTAATACAATCTTTGGTCCAAGCTGCTTCCTAACATCGGATTTAAGCACAAAACCGCCTTATCTTTTTGTAATATAGTGTGTCCAATCAGCCTGATATTTTTGCTCTGCATTTTCAGATGTGCGTACCCCTTTTGTGAGATCAATTTTTGATTAATGAAAAAATTAAGGCAAGAGATAATTTTCAAAAGATATGAAGCCTCGATTTCAATGAAAAGGATTGATAAAATTAGTGTAAAAAAATTAGTCCGCGCTTTTCAAATTGGTCGGTTTCGAGGCGTGAATTGCAAAAATATTAGGGTACTATTATAATTGATATTGTTGGAGAGCAGAATAATTATCAGGACAGGGACCGTCGGTGGGTCTCACTTGCGGCTGTAGTTGTACTCGCTGTAGGCCACCGAGGGGCCGTCGTTATAGATTGCGCTGGGGCCCTCGATGCTGCACACCGAGTCTTCAGGGGTGCGCGACACTTCTCCTCCGTCCTCATTGTCGTGGTGGCCGTGATGCTTGGACGACTTTTGCCTGTGGTGCAGCGCCTGGCAAATTTCAACGATTAATATTAAAAATATCTCAAAATAGATAAAAAAAAAAAAAATATTAAAAAATTTCAAATTTGTTCTCATGCATTTCTCACCTTTTCGCGGCTGCCCTTCTTCTGTTAGCATGAGTGGGAAATCAGAAATATTGAGTGATTCGGCCAAACTACTGGACTTTACCTGCAGGGAGAAGCGTCTGTGCGCCACCTTTCGTCCGCCGCGCCGCTTGGAAATGTGAGGGTTGTCGTATCGAATAGTTTTGTTTTTGAGCACCTCCAGTTGAGTGTAAAGTCGCTTCAGCTCCGCCTGGTAAGTTTCCTTTTTTAAATATTGATTCAAGTCACGTTAGATTGATTCATCGAAACTCACCCGAATGTCTTCTGGGTTCATGTCGGCCAGACTGACTTCGGCAAAGTCGGCGTCCACACACGCGCCCAGGGCCGGACTGGCCGGAGCCGGAGCTTCGCCCAGCAACGGATAGGGCCGCGCGTTGGGCTTTTGCTTGGCGGCCAAGTGACAATACCACCACTGCAAATTCAAAAATTAATTGTTTTTTTCTTTTTAATTGAACAAAAGTAATAAACAATTTAAATTAAAGATAATGTTGTTACCTTTGGAACGAAAATGAGCAGCAGGACAATGGAGTTGGTGAGTTGGGAGCGGGCCACGTAGGCAGTGAAGGCCACGTCAGGGTGCAGGTGGGGCCAGGCCAACGCCCTGAGCGCGTAGAAGGGCACGCTGACCAGGAGCTCGACCACCAGGGCCGCGCACAGGAACTCGCGCTCCCGATATTGCGTGAACGCGTTCCTGCTGGCCACGCTGAGGTGCAGGCCAAAAATAAGTAGGCCGAATTCTCCGGCCTGCGTCACCAGCTCCCACCACAGAGGTTTGCACGTCGGAAACGAAACACCCTGCTCGAGAAGAAAACCAAAAAGATTTTTTAATTACATAAAAAAAAATTGACCATGAAAAATAATTCAGAGCTGAAATGAGATGTACCTGCAGGGTCCGCCCTCTGGCCATCAAGGCCCCCGGCCTCTCTTGCAGGGTGTGAAGGGCAGTGGCTGTGTGGCCAGCCAAGTAAACAAAAGCGATCAGCACCATCGCTGTCAAATATTTGAGCAGGTCTTTGTCTCTGACCACCCAGCGGTGTGCCTTGCGCGTCCGAAATTCAATTAAAATTCTAAAATTAATTAAAATTTTGTGTAAATAATTAGGTTGTTTATAGACACGTCTTACTTATATAGCTTAAGAATGATTGCCCCGTAGCAGATAACGAAACCAAACTCTCTGCACCAGGTTTCGAGAAGACAAAACTCCACTGAGGGATTGAAATACCGAATCAGCACCTTAAAAATTCAATGTAACATTAGTTCCTTTTTTCATCTGATTATATTTTAGTAATTCATACCCCTGCGTATAGAAGGAAAGTGCCAAATAAGATGGTTTCCAACATAGTCCACATGCTGGATGACAGCGGCTGAAAGAATTAATTTTAAATTTTTTAAATTCAGAATAAAAAATAGAGAACGTGCGTATACTTTTCTCTTCCTGTTGCGAAAAACAGCGACGGAAATAACAAAGGTGATGGTCATGCAGACGGCCTGCGTGGCCAAGAGGGCGGCCCTCAGGGTGGGCTGCAACTTTGCCTCGCAGCGGCCGCCCTTGCAAGGTTGGCACTCGTCAGGGCACTGGACGCAGGTGCGCGGCCCCAGGGGAGTTTCGCTGCTGGGCAGAAGGCCCGTCCAGTTGTCAGGGCCCTCAGGGTCAAAGAACCCTTCCACGCAGCGACAGGAATAGGCGCCTGAGCAGAATCCGCGGCCAGCAACGAAGACGCACTGCGCGCAATTATTTTCCATAAAATTACATGTACCAATTTTTTTCAAATCCTACCATTTTCATTGAAATATAGAATTTAACCTTCTCAATTTGACTCAAATGTGATGAAAAATCATCAACTTTTAATTTATCACAGGTCATTTTCAATTTCAAAAAGGTATTTTAAAATCAATAGCTTAATTTTTTTTCTAGTTGCCTATAAAACTTTGACCTAGAAACTTGGTGCACTTTAAAAGATACCTTGGTGCATTAGCTCCAACCTCCCACCGAGGAAATTAAACAATCTTTAGCCGCATTAATTTGACAGCAGTTTTGGTAAACCCTAGTTATGTATCCGGCTGAACATCAGAACTTGAGAAATATGAAGATTCTTCATTAATTCAGTATTTTTAGAACCATAATACGTACTAACGTGATATTTCTTTGCAGATTAAATAAAGTGCTCGAAAATTGGCTTAATTTTCTCAGAAACTAGAAAAAGCACATTTAGAAACTTTCAATTAGACTTTTCTCAATACTTTCGGCTCAAATTTTCTCCCTCTACATCGGCTCATGGTTGAGATATTTGTAATTTCATGCTCTTTTTAATTAACGACGGGCGGTCGATAAGTGCTGATTAAGTGTGATTAATAATTTAGCGCGTGCGACTTTGCGGATTAAAAATAATTGCTATTGGCGTGTACATGCGTGTTTAATGGATATTCGACATCCCCGGCCGGCGCTAAGTAAATGGGCGGCATTGGAGGCGCAGCGGCTTATTGACATACATTTTTTAATGGAGCGTTCACTTAAGGGCGCTCTCCGCCGGCGCGCGGCAGAAAATTATCAATATACACCGGCGGAATTAAAATTAGCAGCACTCACCGTCGATGTGGCCGGGTCGCACTTGTGCGTTCCCTTGAACAGCGACGCGTTCTCGTCGTCGCACTGATCAACATCCAGCGACTTGAGAGGCAGCAGCAGAGACAAAGAGCCCCTGCAAGCAACAATGAAAATGCGAACCGACAGAAAATATATCAAGAAAGAAGCAAACCTGCTGGCTACGGGGAATATTGCAGCCAGGACCCATTGAGAGGCGTCGCAGTCCCAGAAAGGACGGCTCCAGAGCGGGCCAGTAGTGGAATTATTGGCAGGGGTGGTCAGGGCGCCTGCCAGCTGAGAGTATCGCTGGGCCAGAGTGTTGTTCGAAGCGCTGTAGAATGTGCGGCCCGATTCTCGCAGGAACCACACCAGCTCTGAAAAAGTAAATCAATAAAAAGTGTTTTTAAATGAACAAAAAATTTCAAAATTAAATTGATCAGAAAATAGAAAAGAACAAGACTGGCGAAAACGTCTTTTTTCAAGAAAACTTTTTACTTTGTTATTTTAATTTCAAATGTTTTTAAGACAAGATATCAAAGTTTTTCATGATGCAATTTTTTACATTAAAACAATTATATAAATCCAACGATCAATATTTAAAGAAAAAATATCAATGCTCTCCGGAAATAAAATTTGAAATATTCATTTCATAAGTCCAGAAATTTTAACTAGTTTTTTTTTTTTTTACAAATAATTTGATTTTGTTAAATCAGCCTCAAATTTATTTTAAATCTAAATTATGCAATTTGAAATTATCCATTATCGAGCGAAAAATTCTTATTAATATGTAAATTATTTCCACCAGTCCATGAAAAATGGTTAAAAAAAGTTGAGAAGAAACAAGATTTATTGAAATACTTTTGGAAGTGTCGTGAAATACGAGGCCTATCGGCGAGGCGGGGGTGCGAGGAGTGCGCAGGGTGCGCCACAGCAGACCTAACCCCTTGGGACCCACGTCAGGGGGCAACACAGAGAGAAAAGCACCAGCTTCAAGTGCCGTCTAAAAAATTAAGTTGCAAAGGTGAGAGAAAAACACACACACACACACACATAATTTTTACTCACAACCAACTTTTGCAAATTCATCTAATTGTAGGAAAACATTGAAAACTTTTTACCTGCAGGTGAGGTTGGATCAACGCGGGGGTGGCGTTGTGCAGCATGTGGGGGTGGTCGAACGGCTCGGCTGTCTGTCCGCACGAGTAACTTTTCGTCACCGTGTCCAGAGCAGACTCGAGTGTCTCCTCGGCCACCGAAACTGCGGGGAAAAAAGCGCGTGAATTCGAGCAAGGGAGGAAATAGAAGAAGAAGTTTTTTCAGCAAAAAAATAAATAAAAAGAGGACAGACGGATAATTGAATGGAAGCGGCGCGTGAAACTCACAAGTTTGCTGCGTCGAGAGTTGCAGAGCCTTTGAAGTTGAAATGAGAGCCAGAAGAGGCAGCAGAAAAGTTCCACCTGGGCCCCAAGACATGCCTAAATGTCGTCCTTCACTTCAGCGCCAAGTCGAGCCGCAACTATATAACACAGAAAATATATAAATATTATATATATTTTATTTTTAATAAAATACAAATATAATTTATAAGTTAAGTGTAAAATATTATTGGGATATTGGGAAAAATGGGCAATTTTTTGGCCGAAATAGGGGTTTTCAAGTGTTTTTATTTTTAAATAAGTGATTTTTGCCAAAATGGGCAAATTCAAATGGAATTTTAACAGCAAAAAATGGTTGATAGAAGGCGGATAATATCAAAATAGGTGATTCTAATTTATTATTTTTTTTATGTGTCTCTTATTTTATATTTTACAATTAGATCATTTCTGACAATTAATTTGGTAAAAAGATGATAATTCATTTTCCCATCCTTAAACATAAATATTTATTTTCATTTATTATATGCTTGAATGAATTGCTGGAAAAATTCGCAACAAATTTTTCACCGATAAGAAAAGTTTGTTTTTCTTCTCAACCTCCTCTGCTTCAAGCACCAAAAACGTTGAAAGATAAAGCGGGCGCCAACAGAGGAAGAAACAAAATTTCCTGTTGTACTCAAAAAGACAGTGCGGCGGGCGGCACTTGAAAATAAATATGCATATATTCCATTTAGCGCAGGAAGTCTGAGAGCGGCGAAGCGTGCGGACGACTCTCGCAGGAAATTATTCGCAAATCCGCGCGTTAGCAAAGGAAATTTGCCGGGGCGAGGGAGGCAAAAATGGAGAACAATTCGGAGAGGGAGCGAGAGAAGCAGGACAAACAATCTGTCCCTCTTAATGGGTCTGGCCGAGTGAGATTTCATTGCACTCTGCGCGTCCGCATGGACCAAGCCAATCTATCGCTCCAGCAGCCAAAAATAGACGTCGCCACACAAAATACGAGAGAAGTGTGTGCGAAGCGTCGGACGAGAGAAAAACGGGGCAAGTCCGCCCCAGACTGAAAATGAGCGGAAAAATTCATAATATAATTAATACAAATAGAATTTATTAGTTTTTTAGAATAATTGTGAAAAATTAAAATTTGTCATAATTATAAAAAAGACAAATGTTATATTTTTATTTAATTTAAAAAAATATATCAAATATATAATTCAGTAACTCTAGTAAATTGGTTGGATTTCATATAATAATAAGCGTTTTTTTTTTTGTAATTAATCATTTTTCGAAGCAAAACTATAATTTCAAGAAATCAAAAGCTGACTTTTAAATTTGTAAGTAGCAAAATAAGTTGTTTTGTGTAAATAAATAAAACTGATAATCATAATGGAGTGAAATTAAGCTCAAAATTTTGTGTATCCTAATTAAATTGTGAGCATATTTTCAATTTAACTTGCGCCCCTCATTCAAAGCTAATAACTCTCCATTGATGCAAAAGTGTGGCAGCGATTTTCACAGAATCCCGGCTCATTAAATCACAATCCGTCGTCTCGAGTTCTCATTTCGCTAATGATTCATGTCACAGCGGGAGCGGCTGTGAATTCTCTAATCAAACCGCGCGCGCCTCGACACACAGATCTCCTCTTTGTTCTGGGAACGCGCGCGAGGCCTTTGGAAAAACACATAGTCTGGACACATTTATTCCATGGGGGCACATTCGGGCCAAAAATAGCTTTCCACAGATCGCGCCGCTTGGACCCCGTTCAAGAATTTATATCGGCTGAAAACGGTCTCGGCTTTTGCTTGCAGATTTCGGCCGCCGATATAATGTATTATTCCCCGAAACTACTACTTTCCAGCGGTCAAGGTCGAACGCCGCATCCATCTGACTGAGATGGAGCAACACACCTCAGCAGCTGCTGCGGATTTCTCGGTGGAGTAAATAAATACACAGGCCCCACTGTTGTTTCAGTAAACGAGAGAGCAAATTTATCAACAGTCAAATATGTTAAACAAAAATTCCCAGAGACGAAGAGCTGCGGAAAATAAAAAAAAGATCAAAGCGCCAAGAGGAACTTAATCGTTATAAAAAAAACTATTTCAAGATTTTATTAGCGGTGTTTTTAATGCATTTAATATATTTCTCAATCTTTAATCAATTGTGTTGGAAAAGAAACGAAATTGAAAGTAAATTGATTGGACGTGTCACAGAAAATATACCTTTGAGGAAATCAGTGCGAGACGGGGCTGAGAATAATTTGAGCAAAAAAGTGTGTTTTTTCGGCCTGGCGCAGCAGATAAATCGCGGCCGGCCTTTGGGGCGCGGCCAGCAAGCAAATTTGGGCAAAACGAGGTGCGGTGCAGACAAAAAGCGGCTGCATGGCCGCGATGAGTAATGGAGCCTCAATTTGTCTTGTTGCAGCTCTAGGGTGGGCACCTCACACACACGTACGGTGGTGCTAGGGCTGTCGAGGGGAGGCTGGCAGGGGGTGCTCCGCGCCGATGCGCCCGCCATCGATTTTATGGTGTTTGCAAAGAGGCAGGCGGCGCGTTCGTTCGTTCGTTCGTTCGTTCGTTCGTTCGTTCGCCGTCCGCGAACGTCAACATCCTAATTGAATTCCGCCGCCGAGGATATCCGCGATATCGGCCGCCGCAATCCGCAACCGCGGCCACCGGCCCCAGGTGGCCGCCAGGTCGATTCGCTAAAATCCAGATGCGCGTCTTTCTTCTTGTTCACCGAGGAGAATGAAAAAAAATATACAAAAAAAATCCCAAGCCACTTTTCGCGATGCGCCTCTTTTGTTTCGGAAAATGAACAAAAGTATATATACAGTGCGGGGGTGGATATGAAAATAAACACCGCGCGCACTCCGATCTCTCTGGTATATCTGCTGAGAATCTGAATGGATCAATGTGCAAATCCAACTGTTGAAGGGTGTTATCGCGGCGGAGGAACATTACTAGGGGAGAGGGCGAATTTGCATGGCTACGACCTGTGCAGATCTACTTGCATGTGTTTGTAATTTTCGTGACAAACGCAACAGGGTGTGTCTTTTATTTCCACTTCAATTACAACAAAACCCTAACAAATTTTATCAAATTAAAAGAGCTTCATTAAAAATGTACATTTAAAAAAAAATACCGTCTCGTCCCTTTCTTTTGTCTCTTACTTGAGAGCTTGAACAGGAATATTATACACATAAAAAGGACTTGTCTCATTCTCCCTTTGTCTCGGAGCAAAAATTAGCAGCGACAAAAAGGCAGAGTCTCTCTCTGGGCGCGCACTTTCTTTGATAAAACGAGAGACAAAAAATTTGCCCAGCTCTTGAGAGTGCTCCCTGCGCTCCAACCCCTTCCTGCCTAGATCGCGGTCTCCCTTGGAAAAGCGGCCGCCGCCCCCGGGCCCGGGACTTGCTTTTCGGTGTCTCTTTAAACTACTCACCATGAGCGGGCTGGGTTGCGGTGCATCAGGGGCCCACTCGGCGGCATTATTTGTCCTGCGGGTGCAGCTTCTGCTCTCTCTCGCGTGCGGCTCGGCCTCGGAAATGCTCCTCCAGCGGCGGTCCTTCGGGTGCGAAAAATACCCACGGCGCCTGCCCAATCGCTCGCAGCCCCACTCTCTGCTCTCCAGTCCCGTAAAAGCAGACCAGCCGCGATTAGTTTCGGGAACATTAAGGCGCTGCAATTGGCGTCCGGCGACACTATATATATACGAGATCGCCACATCAGGGAATATTATGGGCTCGACGGCAATTACGCACCGATTGTGTGTGTTTTCTCATCTCCCCTTAACTTTACGAGTGTTGCCCGCACCAATTGAGTACAAAAAAATATATATATTTACGACGGAGCAATGTCGCCGAACGGCAGCCCGCTCGACATCCGTGCTCAACATGTTGCATAACTTGTTCGCTAATGGCGTATTATAAATTTATTGGCTCCTAATTCACTAAACCGCTTAAGCAATAAATGCTTTACAAATGGACCAATCCTTAGATTAAATCGCGATCAAGTTTTCCATCCAATTTTTTTTTTAACCACTAAAAAATTGCAGTCTTCTCTTATAATTGCTTTTTTTTATTCGGTTAATTTAATTTTTTTTATTAACTCGTAAAATTACTTAAAATAGTTTAATTAAAATAAAAGCAGTAGATATTTTATTCAGCAATCTGATTTTTGTTGCATTACTTTCAATTTTTATGTTTCTGCATCAAAATATTAATTTGGTAAAACACAGAGGGTGGGTCCGAATATCAGAGAAACGATTCTTGAGAAACGTTTCTCGAGAAACGATTCTGGAGAAACGTTTCTCGAGAAACGTTTCTCGAGAAATGATTCTAGAGAAACGTTTCTCGAGAAAAGATTCTCGCGCAAGGATTCTCAAGGAACGATTCTTTAGTTGAGTTTTAAAGGCAGAAACGATCCTGGAGAATCTTTTCTCGAGAAACGTTTCTCGAGAATCGTTTCTAGAATCGTTTCTCTGATATTCGGACCCACCCAGAGCAAAACTTCAATTCTTCAATGTGAAGATATTAACTTAACCTCTTTCTTTAAATGAGTCTATAAAATGCAGCCACTCAACGTTGCACAGATTCCTGTAATAATAGAAACTGATTTGGATTAACACTCCTCTTCTTCGTTTTAATCATTTTTTATTTTGTACAACTTAACAACATTATTTTTTTTTGCGTGTTCTTCAATTTTGCCTCTACGGTCACTCCTAAATACTTGAAGGAATTCAGAATCAGTGCCGGCTATTGGGCATGTGAACAATAACTTATTACTTGAGGTTGGGATTTGGTTGCAGGTATCTTAGCCAACCACCAGGATTCCTCCGTCCTGGAACTCGTAGGGGGGAACTTCTAGGTTGAGAGGAGCAGGACCTTTGCGGATGCGGCCGGAGGCATCGTAATGGGAGCCGTGGCATGGACAGTAGTAGCCACCAAAGTCGCCTAAGATCAAAATTAGTTTGATTAGCTCAAAAGTTAAAATACTAAATAATAAGTTAACAATATAACAAGGAGTTGAATTCCAATTATAATAAAGCCTCGGCACTGAAGATATTTATTGAAGTGAATAGTGAAGAAAAATCAGCGTCATCATTGTTTAAAATTCTATTTTACCACAAGAGCTATTCTTTTTCTTTAAAAAAAAAAACCACAATTTTCTATAAAAATAAAACCAGATTTGGTTAATTTTTTAAGCGAAATCATTTTTTAGTGAAATAAAAAATTAAAAAAAAAAACATTTTTTTTTCATTCCGGTGCAAAATTAAGAGGAATGAAGTTTTAGAGAACTGATTAATTTTTAATTCCAGAAATTAAATTTGATCTAGGTCAAGGCTGGAGAATAAAACCAAATTTAAGTCTTGAAAAATGCCGTCAAATCCTTTTCTAAAAGCAACTTCTTTAGGTCCACTGGCTAATTTGATTTAATTTTGCAATCAAAATTTAAAAACGCTCTTCCATAGCTTACCAGCATTAGCAATGGGCACACAACCCAAGTGTGTGCAGACTCCGAGAACAATGAGCCACTCGGGCTGTGCTGCTCTTTCGCTGTCATGCTGAGGGTCACGCAGACTGCTGATGGGCACAGCTTGCTCTCTGCTGATTTCCTCAGAAGTCCTGGAATTTAAAAATATGTTAAGTTATAGAAAAAATTTGATGATGTAATGCAGAGCCGGACTAGCCTAACAGGCCTGAACGTAAACAAAAACATAAAAAAAAGAAATAATGCGATCTCAAATTTTGCAACCTGAAAAGGGAACAATCCAGGTTGCAATCTCAAAATGTTGCTATTTTTCACGATAAAAATTTTTTTCAATAAAAAGAACTAATTTCAAATGGTTTTAATCAATTCCTGTTTCATAATGAAGAGTATCAAAAAAACTTTTTAGAAAATTTCTATATCAAATGACATGAAGTTGAGTTCTTCTTACAGATTTAGCATTAAATTCTCACAGATTAATTAAGCATTAAATTTGCTTTCCGTGATCGCAAAAAGATTGCATGAGATTGACTTCCTTTTGTGATTTTGTTCATCCTTGACATTAACATTGGGTTTAAGGGCGAGGCCCCTGATTTAAAATTTGGCTCTAGTCAGGCCCTGACGCTATGCAATCCAACCTGTGGCGGATGAAAAGAGGTTTGCCTCTCCACTTGAATGTGACACTCTTGCCCTCAGGAATATCGGACAGTTTTATCTCGATCTTGGCCAGGGCCAAGACATCGGCAGATGCGCTCATGCTGGAAATGAACTGGGAGACAACAGCCTTGGCACTGTACGCAGCGGCCATTGAGGTGCCTGAAAATAATCAAAATTTTATTTTCGCATCGGACCCTACATATTAAAAAAATTCGATAAAAGTATTCAACGCCAATTAATTTCAGCAGGCCTTATGATTTCATTTACAAATAAAACATTGTTCTTATATAATATTTCTTCATTACGGTTCATGCGAAAAGTATTGATTGTAATTTCACCTGCGACGACAAAGTAAGAGAACGCTTTTCGGTTTTCGGCGCTATCGGCATTTTTCGAGGAAGGGCTCAAGGTGTCTTTGCGCCTGTAGGCACTGAAGTCTGGCACCTGGATGTCCGTGTGAGCGAACCGAACCTGAATGTTGCCTGAAAAATACAAAAAAATTAATATTCGGGTCTTTATAAAATAATTTTGATCCCAGATGATCGTTTGACCGACCAGCTGGTGCTGCATAGAGGTCAAACTTGGACCGACGATCGTGGCCCAGTTTTAGGTTTTGGGCCCAATTTAATGACCTTATTTTTAAGTTTGAGAGAAAAAGAACTCACTGCTCAGGACGGTTGTCGTGTTGGTTGCTCCCTTGGGCAGACTTTTGGCCAAAGAGTAGCCGGTCATCGGGGTAATGGGTGTCGGGACCGTGGGCGCCTTCTGTGCCACGGCGACGGCGGGTGCGGCCGCCTTGAGGCCGGAGGCCACCACCTGGGTGCTGGGCTTCAGGTAGGGGGCCAGGGAGCCCGATTTCGAGACGATGTTCATCATCTTGGCCCTTCTATTTACACCGAACCAATGCACCGAACCCACGAATTTTCTGCTGGACGATCAGCCAATATGGCGATGGACGACGAAAAGGGGGCGTGACGTCGTCAGTGAGCAGATGTTTGCGAAACCGGTTAAAAAACGGCAATTTTGCAAAAATTAAAAACTTAAACAAAAGTAAAATTTGGATATATTTTATAGTTTTAAAAGTATTTACAGTAGTCACAAGTAAAAAAAATTAATTTTTTTAATGAAATTGCGGAGAACAAGTGAGTTGCAAAAACGTTCACTTCTTGAATAATGGTTTTATTTGGAATCTTTTCAAGCGAAATCATGAGATATATATTTATTTGCAATATTAAGCTTTAATTTAGAATAACTTTTTATTGAAAGCACTGAAAATTGCAAAAATTGAAAATAAATACCGGTAAAAATTCACAACTAACCGGTTATTTTGTAAATAACCGGCACATTTACCACTGGCGGGCTGAACTTTTCACAGGCGAAAATTGGTGGCGCCAAAAGTCCATCAATTTACATTGGAGGGCGGGCCGGTGGCGCGACCTTGAAGGCGCACTGCGAATTCACGCAGACCGTGTGTGGTGCGCCTATGAGAAATTTGCTCGCCGCGCTCGGCCCCAAAAATTCGCAAATTGGGTCACGAATTCGCAAAATTTTGGCGACAACAGCATCAGCCGTTGTCGTAAAAAACATTCAATGAATTGGCACAATTTTTGCACTCGTGCTCACGGGGCGTGAAATTCGCACAGGGTGGTGTCGGCGAAAACGTGCGAAAATTTTCATACCAACAGGCCGCAGTGTTTCCGGCCTTGCAACTAACAATAAATTTCTTCTCTATGAACAAGTAGTGCAAATCTTGAAATTAGTCGGTGAACGCGTGCCTCAGGTCTGTCGGATTCGCCAAAGCAAGGGTGAGTGAGCGTCAGGGTCGCGTGTCACGCGCCGACACGGCCGATCGGCGGCCGAATATCGGCGCCAACACACAAATTGCATTATAGAAAAGAATTTGGCGAGTGGGAGGGGGAGCAGGGAGGGCAGCAGCAGCAGCAGCAGGCGAGTCGTGTCAAGATGGAAGTTGCATGCGACGAGCAGCCACAGCGCTTCACCTTGAACCGACAGCCTTGACTGCAGCCCGATTCGGCCGTCGACAAGCATAGGTAGGCCGACTGTCGCCCGATCCGAGAATTCGGCCGCCGATTGTAATCATAATTAATTCATTGCGAATCCGCGAGGAATGCTACAGTGTCCCTGCGCGAATTATATATACGTGCAAAAAAAAACCGGTCGACCCCCAAAAATAAACGCCGCCGCTGCACCGTCTCCGCGAAGAATTTTATTCAAGTCGGCACGTGTGTGCGCGCCGAAAAAATTCAAAACAGGGTTGGGTCGCAGGGTGGGTAGTAGAGAAAGCAGCGGCCGCGACGAGGGTTGAGAGGGAAAGTTGACATTGATCGTGAATAGTGCAGGCGGGCGGGGGGTGGGTGGGGGGCGTGCAGGCAGGCAGGGGTGGCCGGAGCGCACTCACGGTGCACTCGCGCGCGCCGCGGGAGGGGAAGGAGCAGCGAGCAAGCAGGAGCTGCCTAAGTCGGACGGACGGACCGACCCGCCGCCGCCGTGATTAGCAACCGCACTCTCAGGGTCCATTTTGCAGCCTGCGTGCCGATCGAGTCGCCAAATTTTCTCATCGCCAATTGCGCGTCATGCTCTTCGCCTGAAACAGACACACAGAAAGGTAAATTAATCTCATAGTTGTTGTTGCATCGCGAGTGGCTGTCTTGATTACATTTGGAATTTGTTTTCAATTTGCAATTGTTCGCCGAGGACGAATAATTATTATTACGAGACTTGCGTTTTTCGTCGGTGATTTAATGCAACGCAATTCATTTCCGGCAACACGATGTTTCCCTGCGCGCGATGGTTTAATTATTGCCAAGTGAAAAGCAGCATGACTGCCCGCGGTGTTTTTCCTTGTTATTTATTAATTATTCTCTCTGCAATACCGTTTTTCCAGGCATTTCGGAAATTTGTTCCGCCATTTCTGTGGTAAAAACAAAACAATAAGTGAATTTCAGAGGAAATTTGATTGTTAAAAGATATTTAAAATTTTATATTGCAAGCTCTAATACAATCAATTAAACTATTCTAAATTATCTTAAAATAAGTGATAGAGGAAATATATCCTATTCTGATTGATTTTTCATGCAAGCAATCTTTTTCGTTTTAATTATGTTCTGTTGAATTTTACAAAAAAAATTATGCTTACCATTTGGAAGTAATTATCTTTAATAAGAAAATTTTGTTTTAATAATTAATTTGATCTAACATAACAAAGAAAATAACAAAAAATTAAATTAATTATATAATTTGTTTTTAACACAATTTAGTTTTCTTGTCAATTTTCTAACATCTTCCAAACATTTTGAATTCGTCTCAATTAATATACCAACCTCATTATTTTCTAATGTAAGCAAATTCGGTTTTAATTGACGGCGCGGCGATGGAAGAGATCTTTTCTTCTTGGAGCGAAATTGAAAGTTTTGTTGACGGGCAAGTAAGTGCGATGAGCGCCAGCGGGCGGTTACGAGTATGCACTGTACCGAGAGAGTACATAGTTTTTATTCGGTGTGGTGTGAGTGAGTGCGACCAGAGCTAGCGCGGTGCAGAGCTGCCCCACCTCTTGTTTACATTGATCCGCGGCCACCCCAAACATGCCTTATTCACCCACATATTGATCTGAAAAAGAGAGTAAGAATGAAGAAAAAAAAATTGTCCAGATTCACTTTTATTTACGACATGCGAATCAAATAAAATTGTTCTCAAATGTATTTTATTATAAATAATTAAAATAAATTTTTTCTTTTCTCAATTCAATTCAGACATTTTGATCAATAATTTAAGTAACAATATAAAACTTATTTCAGGTATTATTAAAACTTAATCAAAAAGAAAAAAGGCAAAAAATGTAGAGCAAAATAATAATGAACAATGAAAAGACCAGAGTTTGGAATTTGATCTTATTGAACGTTAGATTTATCCACAATGAAATTAAATTCCCTATAAAATCATTGTAAATTGTTTTTATCGGCTGACCTATTGATTTTATTTTTCTATCCTAATTGGAGGGATTTGAACGTGAAAATTATATCAATTTTGGTTAGCCTAATTTTGAGAGGAAATAAATATTTACATGAAAATTCTCATTAGAAAAAAATTCTAAATTTAAAAAATTCAGTTCTTCAAATGACTTCAATTTTTCCTAGAATTAACTGACATCTAAAATTAGAGAAAAATTACCAAAAAAATTAATCAGGCCCGTTTTAGCAAAAGCCGTTGCGTGGTAAACCAGGAAATTAATTGGAACTCATTTCCGGGAGTAAATCTAGAAAACGGATTAATTTCCATTTAGTTATTTGAAAATTGACTTGAATTTAAGTTTCAAATCAATTTTTTGATAATATATAAGAAAAACATATTTATATTAAGTAAAAAATGTAAAATAATTAATGCAAATTTTTTAATTATTGTTCCCCAAAAACATTTTTATTTTACTTATATATTTTCCAAATGATGGAAACAGCACAGAAGACGAAATTTAAACTTCAAACTGAACATTTAAGCAATAAATAAAGTCCAATTAAATAAAAATAAGCGTGGTTGAGATTTGGCGATGATCCACGGCGCGCCGATTAAATGGCGGAGAGGCGCTGGCGGCGCTCTGCGAATTTGCAACTTGTTATTTTTTTTCTTTTTGCACACGAGTGACATTGAATAGAGAAAGTGTCTAGGGCCTCCTTGAGGCTGCAGGCGAACGGGCTCGGCCGTGTCTAATAAAATAACGTGCCCGAAATGTAAATTCGATCCGATGCACTCTTTTGTTTTCCTCTCGCGAATATTTATTTATTCCGCGTGCAATCTCACCTTGGCCGCGAGACCAACACAAAGCCCTTTCCAGAGAGAGAGAGAGAGAGAGACGCGCATTTGCAGATAATTAACGCGGCGGCGGCGGCGGCAAATGGAAAGAAATGAATCGGCCGCCATTTGCGCCTTGCAGAAAATCGATCTTTTTCCCGCCGCCCTCGCTGCACCAGCCCAGCAGCTTTTTGCCTCGGCGCCGCGCACGTGTTTGGAAATTCGTCGGCTTTTTGTGCATTCGCGGCTGACGTCAGAGCTGCAAGAATTCATATCGCATTTTATACTTTCAAATCCGCGCCGTTTCAAAGTCTTCGCTGCTTCAATTTTACATTGTCTCATTCAAATTAAATATCATTTAAATAATTTTCAGAACAAAAACTTGGTCGCTTTCGAATTATGTCAAACCATTTAAAACCAGATTGTTTTCAACAACGCCCATATTGAATGCATATATATAAAAACTCATCAATAGGGATGAAAATATTCATAAAAAAAATCCTAAATTTTACAGTTCATATGTTTTTTTAATTTGTTGATGATCTACGTTTTTACATTAAAAATTTGAAAAATAATTTTTTTGCACTAATTAATTGAATTAAATTGTTCAAAAATTAGTTTCCATTTTCCCTCAAAAACGTGAAAAGTTGCAAAAAAAAAAGAAACACATTTTTCTATCTTTTATTTAACTTTTCTAAAAAATTAACGTGGCAATTTAAACAATGATGATCCTGAGTTGTTAAATTTGAAATCCTCTTCAAAATCTAGTCTAACTTAGAAATTTTTAAATGGTTTATATTGAATAATCTGATGCAAATCTAAGTGGAATTTTTTCCCTTTCCTTTTAGCTGAATAATACAATTGGCGAAAATTAATATCCTCTAATGAATTGCGGTACATAATGAACGCTAATGACACAGAATTTGCATAATTCTCGCCACTTATTGTGCAAGGGATTTTCACGCTCTCCCCGTTTTATATTTTAGACGCGCTGAATGACATGTGATTCCGCACGCTTTGCTCTCGCGCGATCGAATCCAATAAACACTGCTGTGTACAAACGTGTGTTCGTACAAAAAGAAAAAGTGTTATGCAAATGGCAATTTTTATTCAAGTTTATTGATCACGTTCCCCATTCATGGGGACGCGCTACATGACACGGTGCCGTATGACTTGGTCTGCAAAGTTTACTAGCAACGAGATTGAGAATGAGTTAGTAAAATTTCACTTGGAAATCCAAATAAATTACTCTTAAAATAAAACTTCCAAAAAGTATGTTCAGAGAATATAGAGATTTAAATTTCATTTTTTATTTTTTAATGCTTTAATTGATATATTTCTCAAGACAAAAATCTCCACAATTCTGAAATTTTTATAGATGCATTTTTTTTAAAATCAATAAATTTAAATATTTGCACTATTCAACTTTGAGATTAGTTGCTAATTTCACACTATTTAAGTAATTATGTTGATTATTTTTGTTCATACCTGAAAATATATCTCAATTTTTGCTGTCAACAAATTTAAAGCTGCGCTTTTTAGTAATTAATCAATTCGAATCCACTTTTAAAATTCGCGTATTTTTAATTTTTATTGCCCAATTCAGCTTATGTGGCTGCGGTTTTTGTTTTTTAAAACTTTCTACTGGCGGATTTAAAAGCTTTTAGCCGAGTTTTATACATTTTGATTTCAAACGTTAAAATTGTTATATAGGATTTCTTTCCATTTTTATTTGGCGATGGAAAAAAATTGCGTGGAGCGATAAGTAACGGCGGTGGATGATGATTATGTTTTGGCGCGGCGGGGGTGGCGAACGAACACCCCCTTCACGGTGGGTAGAAAAAATGAAAAAATATCGGCGAAACCATAAAACATTTGCTGCGGTGGAAGAAGAAAAAGTGAAAGGAAAACAAAGACGATTCTTGGAGCGAAATTGCGAAACGCATAATTACATCGCACGGGGGATGCACGCGAGGAGGGGTGGGTGGGGGCGCGGTCGTCCATCGCTTCGGCCGGCCAGAGAGAGAGAGTGCTATGACATTTTTGCTATTGATTAGCTGCGAAGCGCAACATACGGCGGAGGTCAGGCCGCGCTGCTTCACTCGGTGTGGCGTGACGTAGGTTGCAGGCTGTGCGGCGGTGCAGTATATCAACCCCCCGGCCCGCCGCCCCCGCCCAAGACGCCCCGCGGTAATTACGCGACGAGCAGATGGATGCGAAGTGCGCGCGAAAAAAAATTCATGCCTTAAACGGCGGTTCCAAAATTCATTGGGTTCAAAAATCATTTCGGCTGAGATGCAAATTTTCTTTTCGATTTCGCAATCAATTATCCCGAGTTGATTTTATAAGGAAAATCGTAACAAAATTATCAAACCAATATGTATGCAAAATTTGTGTTTGACGAGTTAGATTAATTAATTTGTTAATATGTGTGGCTTAACAAAAAGTTTTTATTTTCAAATTTGAAAATATTTGTGGTCTGGTCGTACAAGTATAGTTTTGAACTCATTTTAAAGGGCTAAAGAAGTTAATTAGTGAAATCAATTCAATAGTTCAAATAATAAAATATAATTTCTTAGTGTCAGCTTAAATTGGTGTTTTCAAGAACACTGTCAAATTTTTAAAAATTATAACATGTTTAAAAAAAAATTAAATTACCATTTCTACGAAAGCATTTGGAGGATGATAACATTTTAGGAAATTAGTCATTTTTAATTAATAATGTGAGCGTTTTAAAAAGGAATCGTTTGCTAAATTTTTAAAAATCCCATTTTTCTGGGACATTCTGAAAACTTTTGACGCATGTTTAACTTTGCAACTGCA